AAAGAACCGTCTCTCTTTCTCTCTCTTTCTCTCTTTCTTTTTCTGTCCTGTCTCTTTCTGTCTTTCTCGCTCGCTCACACTCATATATATACGTATATTCTATCGTACGGTTGTATTCTCGAGAGGGAGTACCACCTAACATAGCAACTGCTGTTTCTGCATTTCTTAGCAGCGCGCCCCATACGAAATGCCAGTATATTTTAGGCATATAACGGGTGTCCCGTTTTGGTATAGGTACAGGCATACTTTTTTAACCGTACGGACCTTCCTCCTGTCTCGCTCTTCTTTACTTCCTTCCTTTCTTTTACTCTTCTTACTCTTATTATTCTTCGATACTTATTCGATAATCGAATAAAAAGGAAATGTTTTATTACGGGCAAAGAATTGTACGAACCTCTCTTCATCCCCTTTCCACTACTCTCTTTCTTTTTGCGAATTGTATATATATATATATATATATATATATATATGTACATATATGTAGAATGAGGTTAAAAGAGAGAGAGAGAGAGAAAGAGAAGATAAGAGTTCATTAAACTCTTGTTGAAATCCATCGCGATATGCGTTCACGGAAGTTAATTAATTCGAACATTAAATTTCGTATGATTAAGAAATTTATGAGCTATCCATTACAATATTTAATAATAATAATAATAATAATAATAATAATTGTTAATTATAACATGCAAATAATTTCATAGTATCCCCATTATATTTCGTTGAACGAAAATTGAAAATTTGTCATAATGTATTATAATTTGTACTTTTTCCTTTTTCTTTTTCTTTTTTTTTTTTATCATCCTTTCTTTTTTCCTTTCCTGCCAACGTTTAATCGATTTATTTCTCATTTTCGTCGTACTAAAAAAAAAAAAAAAAAGAAGAAAAATTAAATAATAAACGGATAAAACAAAAGGAGGACAAAACAAAAAGAAACAAAGCAAAAAATAGTAAAACAAAGAGCATTAATCGATCGAAGAGTCAATTGGCGTTTGATTTATATATATATATATATATATAATTCATAAAAATTCGAGTATGAATTGTATTAAACAAAAACGAAACAAAAAAAAAAGAAGAAAGAAAAAAGAAAAAGAAAACGTATAGAAAAAAAGAAGATCATCGATTACAAATCTTTAAATTGAAAAACGATGAATATGATAAGATTTATATTAAAAAAAAAAAAAAAAAAAAAAAAAATACAAAAAAAAATCGTAATTAAAAAGTTTGTTTGAAAAAAAAAATATATATATATATATACGAATAACAATAAGATAAATTGAATTAGAAAGAAAAAAAAAATATATATATATATATATATATTCAACGCAGCTGTCTCTCTCTCTCTCTCTCTCTCTCTCTCTCTCTCTCTCTCTCTCTCTCTCTCGTTCTTTCTACGATTCGTTCCTATCGTTGATAGTTACATAGCGTGAAACTCCGTGACATAAGGGAGACCCTTCGTTCAGATTAATGTAATAAACGTGAGAATGGGGCAGATATTACGGAAGTAGCGTAAAACGTGTATGAAATATCTCCGTGTTAGAATAGTTTCGATCTGCGGAGAGAAAGAAAAAGAAAAAGAAGAAGAAGAACAAGAAGAAGAAGAAGAAGAAGAAGAAGAAGAAGAAGAAGAAGAAGAAGAACAAAAAAAAAAGAGGAAGAAAAGAGAAAGAAAAAAACACCAATAAAAAGGGAAAACAAAAATAGAAAAAAGAAAAAAAAGAATAGGGTAACAAAAAAAAAGAGGAAGAGTGAGTGAGAAGGTGAGAGACAGAGAGAGAGAGAGAGAGAGAGAGAGAGAGAGAGAGAGAGAGAGAGGAGGGGTTCGGACAAATAATAAAGAAAGGACATTGTCGTTTCGTTAGAAACGATAGCGAGCACGTTCAACGCCCTTCCTTTTTATTACAGGGCATTAAATATATATATATATATATGTATATATACATATATACATAGTATCGTTAGATTTAGTCACACTACTACCCTACGAATATCTATGCAACTTGTCGCAAATAGCCGTTCGCATGTATAAGAATATGAAACCTGTTTTCTGAAACTCTCAAGTACTACGAGTCCATCCAAGCAACAACCACCACCCAACCAACCAACCAACCAATCAACCAACCAACCAACCAACCAACCAACCAACCAACCAACCAACCAACCAACCAACCAACTATTCAACCATCCAACCATATACGTTCATCCACGAGGAACAACACTTTAGGAAGATTTTATTGTTGCGCGAACTAGGTGGATTCATTTCGAGGGGTTGTACTTGTGACATGTAACATGGCTATAGTGGCCATTTACGATGCTACTTCTTTCTTTCTTTCTTTTTTTATTTTATTTTATTTTATTTCCTTCTTCTTGTTCCTTTCGCCCTTCTCTCTCTCTCTCTCTCTCTTTCTGTATCTGTCTGTCTTTTTCTTTTTTTTTTTTAATTATCTATCTCGTTGAACTTTCTTCTCGTAAAACAATTTCTTCTGTTTGATAATCTTCTAATACGTCTCTTGCCTTTGTCATTCGTACTTTTTTATTCGTACACGTTTACGTAAAGCATTCCTAAAGCCTAATTCAAAATACTTTTATTTGTTTTTAATACGATTCTTCATATCCATGATATTCCATATCCAATGTTCACGAATATGTTCTATCATTCGCCACACGCTATTTGTAATTAGAACTCTTAAGAGTATATTTGTTGTGTGTATACGTATGTACTAACTGAAAAGAGAAAGAGAGAGAGAGAGAGAGAGAGAGAGAGAGAGAAAGAGAAGAAGAAGAAGAAGATGATGATGATGATAAATGATATACTCGGTTTTTTCGAGGATCTTGTATGTACGAGAAAAAAAAAGGAGGAAACAAGTAAAAAGAAAAATAACAATAAAAATGAAAAAGTTAAAAAGAAGAAGAAGAAGAAGAAGAAAAAGAAGAAGAAGAAAGCAGCGTGAAAAAGAAAAAAAGAAACATTCACAGCTGTGAAGTTTCGAGATCTTTATCGGTAACCAAATAAAGAAAAAGAGAGAGAGAGAGAGAGAGAGAGAGAGAGAGAGAGAGAGAGAGAGAGAGAGAATAAGAAAAAAAAAAGAAAAAGAAAAAAGAAGAAGCAACGGACAGTCCGTCCTTTAACAATTGAACTATCTATTTAATCATCATAGTATGAGAGTATTATTAAACAAATAAAAACCGCTTCTTTCCCCCCCCCACTTGAGACATCATCTAAGCTAATTTTCACGAAGGACCACGGGGGCGATAATGTCCTTATGGAATAAAAATTTCCAGCTTGATATTTCCTTCTTCTTCTTCTTCTCTTTTTTTTATTCTGCAGCTTCTTCTATTCTTTACGAACGAGTCACTCGACATTAGAAAGAGAGAAAGAGATAGAGAGAGAGAGAAAGAGAGAGCAATTTTTTTTATATAATGGACCACCTACCGGAACGGTGAGAGTTTGGTCTCTTTGTAACTTACTATATATATACATATATACATGCATATATATATATATATATGTACTTCTATTCCTGTGAGTAGAAACTAGTATACTACGATATAATATCTACTTGTCTATTCTTTTCTTCTTACGCACCTTCCTCTCTCTCTCTTTATCTATCTCTCTATCTATCTCTCTCTCTATCTCTCTCGCTCTAAGTTTTCCGTTGTGATCTCTTTTCCGTTGTGATCTTGTTTCCCACAGAATCTTTTTTCCCTTTCTTTGATATATGTATGTTCTTCGAACTTTACCTTTGACATTGCAATATGTGACGTCACGTACCACTTTCTATTTATAACTTTCGACAAATGCATATATGCATATATGCATGTATGCATGCTTGTATGTATGTATGTATGTATGTATATATTTACTGGTTTAATAGATTTCTTTTTCTACCTAAAAACAAATACTTTCATTAGTTGCTATTTTTATATGTATATATATATAATATATATATACATATAAGAAAAATAAGCACGTTATATAAAAAATATCAATGAAATAACTATACCTTAAAATATCGATTTAAGGTTAAAGTATCGAAAGAGATGAAAGTATATTATTGAAAGTATCAGGAAAAAAGATAAAAAAAAAAAATAACGCTTCGAATGATAAAATTCCATAGAAAAAAAAAAGAAGAAAAAAAAGACATATATAAGAAACCAAGTAGAAAAATATCGATCTAGATATTAAACTAGGAAACGATATTATCGCCATCTTTCGTCAAATTATATATTTCAATCTTTTCTTTTGGTTATAAAGGCCCAATAAAAATAATAATAATAATAATAATATATATATATATATATATATATATATATATATATATATATATATATAAATGACCTTTCTAAAAACATTCGTACACTCGTACGTTTGTGATATTAATCTACAATAAAAAGTGTATCTCGTTTTGTTCGATGGATCTTCGTTATTGGTCGTAATACCGACCAATGAGAATCATTCTCATTAAGATACTCACGAATTACAGTTTTAATTAGACACGATCTGTTAATTTTTCGATCGCGAATATATATACATAAACGTATCGTGATAATATTACATACGTATATACATTAAATTAATACAAAGATACATTGATACGTATTTACATATGTATAATTTGCATAGAAGAAATATTACCAAAACTCGTCAAATATTTATCAAAAGTGTTTCTTATATCATCATCATCATCATCATCATCGCCATCATTGACATCATTATTATTATTATTATTATTATTATTATTATTATTATTATTATTATTATTATTATTATTATTATTATTATTATTATTGTTGTTATTGTTGTTGTTGTTGTTGGCAACGGTTCTTTTATATTCTTGAGTCTCTGACTGAATTATATGATCACGACCTTGAAGGCCAAAGTCACGGATTATAGATAATACCTAGATACATAAACATTAACCAAATATATAAGTAAGGTAAATATAAGTAGAATATCTCTATATGATTCACATTCACAGTTGTTAATGTTAAAAGATCGGTCAAATATCGAAAACGTCGCTTTTAGTCAATACAATATTTTCGATCAGTACGTACCTATAACAACTCATATATTCACACATCAGTTCGTCGAGATATTATTACGTATTTCATCATTGGTTTATTCTTCCTCCTTCTCTTTCTTCTTCTTCTCCTTTTCCTCTTCTTTCTTCTTTATTTATTTATTGCCTTTTCTTTTCTTTTCTTTCTTTCCTTTCTTCCTTCCTGTCTTTTCTCGTTTACCTTCTTGTAATTAATCTCTCGTGAAAGTGAATTTAGAAAGTGAAAATTTAGAAAGTATTCAGAATCATGCTTAAAGTACAAATGTATAATAACAACTTCATATCGAAGACTTGCCACCCATGCGGTAAGATATAATTATAATAATAAGAACAATAATAATAATAATAATAATAATAATGGTTAACAAAAGATAAATCTATATATATATATATATATATATCATTGGAATGCGTTGAAATATTGTGTAGTAATTGAAGTATTATTGGTTAGGAAAGAAAGTTCGATGTAATAAGGCACCTGGCCTTTATCGAAAGAATAAGATAAACGTTATGTATAATAAATACGTATTAACATACCTATATATATATACATGTATGTATATATATATATATATATACACATGTATATATATATATGTATGTGTGTGTGTCTTTGTATGTGCGTATACGTGTATTTAGATATGGACGACATACGAGTTCGGAAAGCAGCCAACGAAGTTTCTCGTAGGGAAAAGAAAAGAAAAGAAAAGAAAAGGGAAAAAAATGAAAAGAAAAGAAAGGAAAGGAAAAAAAAAGAAAAGAAAAGAAAAGAAAAGAAAAGAATACTCCCTGTTGCTTAGTCGACTAATGCCGCTCGAACGCGTTCGCATAACCTCTTGATCCTGATTAGAATACTGAAAAGAGGTGGGTCTCTCTCTCTTTCTCTCACTCTCTCTTTTACTCTCTCTCTCTCTCTCTCTGTTCATCCATCCATCCATCCATCTGTCCGTTTATCCGTCCATCCATCCATCCATCCATACATCCGTTTGTCCATCTTTTCGATGGAACGGATTTCATCATGGCGGTTAACAAAACGCGAATGGCGTATGACATTCTTACATTAACGACGTTACACATATACATAAAATATTATACATAGTTATATATGAATATATATGTATGAACGGGGATCGCACGTGCATTTAGAAAGAGAGAGCCGAGAAAACCCCGGAAGCTAAGCTTTACCGTTTCCTTTCTCTTTCTCTCTTTCTCACTCTCTTTCTCTTTCTCTTTCTTATTCATACGAGAGAGAAACCGGTGTAGAATGTATATATTCATATGTGTTAAGTATGTGTATGTGTGTGTGTATATAATGTTTGATTTGTGTAATGTGTGTGTGTGTGTATATGTAAGAACCGATGGGAATTTCCATGGGAAAAATGATTTCTCTTATACTCGTTCTCTCCTTAAACCCTGTAGTTAAAGGGTCAGAGTTCAAATTGACCGCGGTACAAAACAGGTTGTATAAGAACGTCTAAATACGTTGACCCAATGAACCGATTCTATTCGCGTTTATATATACATATGTATATTATATATATATATATATGTATGTATATATATATGTATAATACATTAGTCTTATGTGTTGCTTATTCTATGAGAACGACCTTTCTCTCTCACGACTTTCTTCTTAGGTTATATTAACGATTTTCATTTCATCTGAGATTTTTCTAGATATCTATCATTCTATATTTATACAATTACAGTACATAATATATATATATATATATATATATATATATATATATATATATATTATGTACTTTGGTTTTTTTCTTGTTTTCTTTTTTTTTACTTTCTATCAGATTTATATTCTGTAATATAATATGATATGTTATTATAATATATTATATTATTTTTTTTCTTTTCTTTTTCAAATAGTATGGCAATTTTTCTCCAATATGTATTACAGGCAAAAGTTTCTAGAAAAGCTTTTGAGAAATCAAAAGTCTCTCTCTCTCTATATATAATATATATATATATATTTATTGATCAATCTATAATGTAAATAGTATTTATATACGTGTGCGTTATTATATTATTGAATTTATATATGTATATATATATGGAATGCTTTTCTTTTGTTTCTTTTTGTTTTTCTTTCGTTTTTCTTTTTCTTTCTTAAATTTTCCTATCAAATAACAAATCTCATTATTTATCGATCATAGACAAGTTAAAGATTCTTTTATTTATTTCTTTTTTTTCCTTTTTTCGTTTCTTTTAGGTTATACCTTCCTAGGATCGTCGCTCGTGGTGGAGCCATCTGTGGCCAGCGGTGCGAAGAAACGGTGAGTTTCTAATCGAGCGTAGAAAAAGACGCTATTATTATTTTCTTTTATTTCTTCATACTTTTGTTATTATTCGTCATAAAATATTGCAACAATATTGTTTTGATTATATCTATAATACACAGATCACAGCGTTTTATCATGATTATGATCATGATTATTGTACGATTAAAATTAAAAATTTTAATTCTTAGATGAAAGTTTAACAGGGGGGGGGGAGGACTGAAAGTATTATACCATTATATTTTCTTCTTTTCTTTTTTTTCTTTTCTTTTTAAAGAGAATTTTCGATTCGGAGTAATATGTATATATTTTCTTTCTTTCTTTCTTTCTTTTTTTTATTTATTTATTTTTCTCTCTCTCTCTCTCTCTCTCTCTCTCCCTTCAACGGCTGCCACTCTTTTTGATAATTACACGTCGTATATTAAATTAATTTTAAATAACCGAAGAGTCGAAAAAGAGAAAGAAAAAAAAAATATGTCGGGACACAACTGACGTTCAACCGGGATATCGTGTATTAATTTGTTTCCAGAAGGAAGGAGGGTTAGGTGGGTTGGGGGTCGGGGTGAGGGGGTGGGGGCAGGAGAGGAGAGGAGGAAAGGAATTAAATATAATGTTACGCTCGTGTCGTTATCGATCGCGTTTTATATTCTTTACCTGTACTTTTTCTTCTTCTTCTTGTTTTGATAATAAGCAAAAAAAAAAAAAAAGAAAAGAAAGAAAAAAGAACTTTTACTTCGGTTGGGGGGCCGCCCCCATCTTGATTACATATTTATTCACATATTTTTGGAATAATGAATTATAAATTTTAATGATGATAAATTTTTTAATGAACAAACAAATATTATTCCCTTTAGCGCTATATTATTCACACCTATATATATATATATAGGGCTACACAAAAAATCAAACAAAATGAAAAAGTCCGAAATAATGATAACAAATATATAATAATAATAATAATAATAATAATAATAATAATAATAATAATAAAAGAGAAAAAAGACAAATAAACAAATGAACAAACAAACAAACAAACAAACGAACAAAGAAAAAATTAACATAAAATCTGCCGTTGAAAAGTATTCGGTTCGGTTTGTAATAAGGTACACGCCGGTAAGGTATTTCGAATATGAGAGGGGGGGGTTAATGAGTTAATAACACACCGGACGTCATAATCCGATAAGAAATCGCGCGGCTTTTTAAATTCTTTTCCATAAAGAGTAAGAACGTGAAAGAGAGAAAGAGAGAGAGAGAAAGAAAAAGAGAGAGAGAGAGAGAGAGAGAGAGAGAGAGAGAGAGAGATTTTTTTATGCGTACATACATAATATGTACTTACAGGATCGTTGAACTTCCTGTGATAATCTATCGATAATGTAACATAACATTTTTCTTGGAATATAAAAGTGCATCGTATAAAAGTGATATTTACGTGCCGTTCAACCATTTATCTTGTTAACAAATTTATGTATGTCATTTTTCAGTAAAAAAAAAAGAAAAAAGAAAAAAAATTTGTAAAGTAGAAGAGGGAAAGGGAGGGAGGATGGGAGGTAGGGAGATGGTGATCTTGCGCCATCGTAAAAATAAAAAAGATAAGAAAAAGTGTGGAAAAAAGAAGGGATCAGGGAAAAGGGCGGGTTGAGTTGAATTGACTTGAGTTGGGTTTAGTTGGATTGGGGTGGCCTGGGGAAAGGGGAGTAAAAGGGTGAATGTTGCACGTAATGCAGGCATAACGAGGTGCATAATTGATCGTACACGAATAAATGTGCACTGCGTTAGGAACGACGAATTTACGCGTGAATTTAAAACTCAGTATGTATGCACACACACAAACACACACTCTGTCTCTCTCTCTCTCTCGCACACACACAGAGAGAGAGAGAGAGAGAGAGAGAGAGAGAGAGAGAGAGAGAGATATCGTGTATAGGTAAAAAATTATCGAGTATTATATCAGTGGAACTCAATTCTATGTGAAAATTTCAGAGAATTTCTCTCTCTCTCTCTTTTTTTTTCTCTTTGGGTCTTCGTTAAACAAACGTGAGATCTGTTCTAAGAAATCTATTAACGGTTGTGATAGAATAAATAATAAATAAAATGATCGAACGAGCTAACAGTAAAGTTCGACCTATCTAAAACCTTTAATGTATATGCCGCTTATATATATGTGTTTATGTATTCATAGGTAATAATCTTTAGGCTTTATATGTGTATTGATTTGTTTGTTTACATATTTACTACGTATATGATTTCGTATATTATTCGTGTTTGCATGTTGATATGATGATGTATCGTTGTATCTATTCTGTATCTATCTCGATCGAGACATATACGCTAATTTAATCCTCGTCATTTTCTTCGCACGCTTACATGGACAAATACATGGACATGGACGGTGGTGCGTATATATAAATATAATATATATAAATATATATACATAGATATATTTTTTTTTTGTTTCTATAAATATATTTATAGATAGATATATGTATAAACGTATATTACTTATGTACGTTGTAAATAGGCAATATTATGTACGTGTACGTTAAATCGATTAAAATTAAGAGATAACATATATATATATATATATATATATATAATCATGTATTAGCTTACGAGAAATTATGAGAAAAATTTCGAGAAGAAAAATAAGAAGAAAAAAAAAGAAAAAAAGAGGAAAAAAAAAAAAGGAAGAAAATTATTCCCTCCAAGATTTATCTAAAGTGTCTGACAGAAAGAGATAGAGATTGTTTGGGAGCCTCTGTACAAGGTAGATAGGTGGTAGGTAGATAGGTAGGTAGGTAGTTAGGTAGGTAGGTAGTATAGTGTAGGCAGCCTCTCTTACTTGGCGGTAAAACAGACGGTCGAAAAAAAATGTGGCACCTGCCTTCTCCTTACGAGCACCGAACCGAACCGAACCGAACCCAGGCTGCTCGTTCGCTCGTGCCACAACTGCAATCTGTTATTTCACCATCCCCCCACCCCCCGCCTGCCCGCCCTCCACCCCTCCCCCGGACGAAGTAGTCTCTTACTTTTTCTTTTTCTTTTTTTCTTTCTCTCCTTCGTATTCGTCTTTTTCTTCTTTCCTCTTTATTACTCTTTCTCTCTCTCTCTCTCTCTCTCTATTTCTCTTTCGTTTTACTTTCTACTTCTCTCTTTATCTAACAACGTAAGAGAGAAAGAGAGAGAGAGAGAGAGAGAGAGTGAGAGGAGAGAAAGAGAGAACTTCATCGACGACGTCTTGAACATTAAGACCTGCAATCTCGTTCGTTCGACGATATTTTTCAACGCCTCGATAGAGTATTGCGTTGATTAAAGGAAAAAGGAAAAGAGAAAAGAAAAGAAAAGAAAAAAAAAAAAAATAAGATAGAAAAGGAAAAAAGGGGAAGAAAAATTTGAACTACCCCTTGATAATAAGATTTGATTGATTTTCAAAATTTTTTTTTTTCTTTTTCATTTTTTTTTTTTTTTCCAAAAACTATCTCATTCGAACTAAATACATTATTATATATTTAGGATTGATTTCGATAGAACAAATGTAACCCTGTTGCGTACGAAGGATTGTCAAGAAAAACGAATAAGTAAATAAATAAATAAATAAGTAAATAAATATTTCCAATATTAATCGTTAATATATAAAAGGCCAATGAAAGTAGATAAAATGAAAATTAATATTCTCATAATTCGTATAATGGCAATTTTATATATATCAATATATTTTAAAAACACATTATTGATAGTATTATTAACATTGTCGAACATTATGCGACATAGAAATATCTATATCTTTTATTGGAATAATATTTTACGATTAATAATAACGTTAAATGATTAAAATTTGTCTATCGTTATTAAATAATTTTGACACTTTAAGCTTCATAATAATTTATTATAATCAAATACGTTAAATGTATTTTAACGTTTGACAAATGAAACTTATTAATTTACATTTCTATCTCGTGTAAATTTTTTCTTCGTTCTCGTCGTAAGTAAAAGATAAAGAAAAAAAAAAAAATATAAAAACAAAGAAAGAAGGAGAGAGAGAAAGAGAGAGAGAGAGAGAGAGAGAGAAAGAGAGAGGGAGGGTTGAAGGGAGAGGGTGTAATGAAAATAGAACGATCAAAGAATCGACGTAGAAATCATTTTTTGCGATGATGAAAGATAAGAAGTGGTGTTGGGTTGACAGAGAGACAGAGAGAGACATAGAGAGAGAGAGAGAGAGAGAGAAGAGGAAAGATAAGGATTTAATCCTATAATAATATCTTATAAAAAATAACGTGAAATATTTCATTGCTGTTATATTCTTTTCAATTTGTTTTCAATTTTTTTTTCCTTCTTTCCTTTCTTTTTTTTCTTTTTTTTCTTTCCTTCTTTATTTTTTGAATGACCTTATACACGATTTCTAATACGTCGTCCATTTCGTCGAATTTTTTCCACGATACGTAAAAAGAAAAAGAAAAAGAAAAAAGACTGGAGACGACGAAGACGAAGAAGAAGAAGAAGAAGAAGAAGAAGAAGAAGAAGAAGAAGATGAAAAGAAATCTTGCCGAGGCTTCCAGCGGTGTCAACCGAGTTTCTTTCATCTTTTTATTCTTACGTGTTTCGTTACGATGAATTACTTAAACGTTCATTTCCATATAAGCCGATATGGTTCAAATGTAAAATACGAAGCTGCTGTTCAGGAATAAGTTCCATATAACGCGTGTGGACTAAAGAAAAAAAAAAGAGAGAGAGAGAGAGAGACAGAGATAGGTAGAAAGAGAGGAGGAAGAAGAAATAGAGGAAGAAGAAGAAGAAGAAGAAGAAGTAAGGGAGGAGAGAGGAAAGAAAGAAATAGATAGAAAAGTAGTAGTAGTAATAATAATAGTAGTAGTGGTAGTAGTAACCAACAGAAACTGGTAGAAGTGAAAACTAGTTTAAAAGACCAGGGGGTCTGACCCCTTGCGTTCAGTTCAGTTCAGTTCAGTTCAGTTCAGTTCAGTTCAGTTCAGTTCAGTTCAGTT